AAGACCAAAATATGGTGTAGTATATCAAAACACCAAAAGATGCACTTTGTGACAAATTTGCACTCACAAGATAATAGTAAATAGTAGACACATAGAAATCTTTGGCGTTCAGAGGAGTTCCAGATTCTTCATCTCCTTAAATGAGAAGGAGGGACAAATACATAGTGCACCAATAATATTCAAAAGGCAAAATTTATTTTGATTGCACTCACAGGATGATAATAAAAATCCAGCATGTCAAAGCACTCAAGTTGTCCTTTTCAGTGCCGCTGTCCTTATTGTAGAATAGGGCAGGATGTAGGAACATCCAGATAGTTAAAACAACAAAATACAAACTAAACAAATAAACAGTTACAAATATCTTCAAAAGGTGCTTCCTTAGTCCCTCTGTCCGACGCGTTTCATCCTGAATAGGACTTCCGCAGGGGCAAGTCAAGGTGTGGAATCTGGTCTCCTCTGTTTGCATCTTAAATATGGAAGTTGTATTTCCCGCCCTTTCAATGGTCGATCAAGTTGTATGATCATTACTCAATTCACCTGTGCACGTAGCGTGCATTCCAAGTCTCTTTTTAAAGGACGTTCCAGAGAAATATTGCCGGTATCATGTGGAACGCAACTTGCATTTCACAATCTCATGACCGGAGGTATTCGAGTCCGTGTGACAAAGTAATACAGAGATGTTGCACAAGAAAAAAGAAAAAAAGAATAGAGAGAAACAATATGATCAGGGATTCATACTTAAAATATCAGTCAAAAAAGGCTTAAATAAAAACAAAAGATAAAAAGACGAAAAATAAAATATACCAATAGCAATAAAGGTTTGTCTTAACAAATATAAAATTGTGAACCATTCCTACAGTCTAAAAAAAAAAGGAAAAATATACCTCACAAACCTAAAGTATTCTGTTAATAATGAAAATACCCAGATGACAGAGTACAATGGTGAAATAGAAACTGCATATATAAAAGGGGTGTGCTAAAAAAGTTTAAAAAATATTAATAGAAATATCTGAACTACATATAAAATAATCTAAAAAATACAATATTAGATAGTTGATTTATTTCTGTTCAAGGCACCTAGTTTTGGATAAAGCTTTGAGGAGATTTTTCAATGTGAAGGCTAAAGGAGAGATCGCCTAGATATTTGAAAAAGCAGACTGCGCTCAGTGTTTTATTTGAATTTGTTCTGATACATGGTTTGTGATTTTGGTACAGTTCCAAAGATCATTGTAACAGTTTTGTCAGTGCTTAGGAATAGTTTGTTATACGTTATCCTCTTTTCTACCTCAGCGAACTGGTCTGGAAGCACAGCCTTGTTGGGTAATCTAAGGTTTTATATGTATGGAATATTGATAAAATAGTAACTGATTATATTCACACACACATAGAGATAAGAATTTATCCTGTTTACTTCTCAGGGTCGTTAAACAAAAAAGATAGTTTGACCTTTGTTTAGTGAAGCTACAACAGTGTTACATAATGTCGATGCAAGTCTATCAGCATCCATATTGTTTTCTGAATATTTAAATTCATACTGTTCCAAATAGCACAACAGCCTCAAGCTTAAACTGCTGTAGATTGGGTTTACTAGTGTAGATTACAGTGTCTTCTACATACATATGTACATTTGAGGTTTTGCAGACATTAGCCAGATCATATATAAATAATGTCAATAGTAGGGGCTGAGTATGGAGCCTTGGGAAAAGACCACACGTAACCGAGAGAGGGAGGGAGGCGCTATCAGAAATGGTCACATATTGCAATTGATCTGATACATATGAATAAAACCAAGTTAGTGATCGATAACCAATACCTGAGTTTACATTTTTTGCAAAAGAATGCCACGGTCTACCGCGTCAAAGGCCTTGGAAAAATCAAGGAAATAGCTCTAGTTAAGTCTCCTTGCTCCATGCCAATCTGGATGTCACTGCAAACTTTTAAGACGGCAGTTTTTGTTGAGTGATTTGGACAAAAGCCTGATTAATTAGCAGTCAGATAGTTAGTTTGATTGTTGATAATATTTACATATTTGAGTGTGAACACATTTTTCCAAGATTTTTTACAATACGAGGAGCAATGATATCGGACGATAGTTATATACCAAAGTATTGTCACCACTTTTATGGATTGGTACTACTCTTGCAGTCTTCCAAAGTTTAAAATTTAAACTATATTAAAATGAAATTTCTCTAAAGACCTGGTGATTATAACCTCGGTAGGGGATTTAGCAGCCTTTATTTTTCGTATGCAGTACACTAGACAGTGGGCATTGAAACTGTTAGGGAGAATGCCTGCCTCCTGGATTCTATCAGGACAACTGGAGAGAATCTAATCTAGCAAGGTATGGTTAGGGCTTTTCATATAAATGCGAGTTGGGGAGGAAATTAATTGTGTTAGCTGCAAAGTCTTAATGAGCAAACATGATTTATTATTTTTAGGATTCGGCCAATCAATATTAAAATGTCCAAAAACAGTTCACTTTTTTGATTCTGAGCTTTGATTTCACTAAGGAGTTGGGTTATGTTGGATAGGGAATGCACTGGAGAGCTAGGTGGGTGATACATTCCAGCAACAATGATTGCTTTACTGAATGGGATCTTGATTGTACCAGAAAGGAAATCAAAGGTGGCAGGGGAGCTATAGTATTTTTTATAGCTGTGAACTTTATGTTCTTACCAACTTCAATAACAATGCCTCCTGCTCTGTCATGTCTAAAGCATGAATATCCATGTATTGCAATGGCAGAGTCAGTTTTTTTTTTTTTATGTTAACCATGTTTCCGAGATCACAATGACGTTTGGTTTGTAATAAGAACACCAAGCTTGTAGTGCATCCAGTTTAGAGAGCAAACTGCGGATATTGCAGCGCAGAGGTCTTTTTTTGATGGGGAGACTAGGATTGGAATCAGCTGGGGGACCAGGGTTAGACTCCACATCATTTCCAAGGGTAAGTAATATAAGGAGCAGGAATTTGGACATCATTTTTGTTTGGCAGTACAGCGATTAGGAGACTGTATAACTTTGTTGGGTGGGATAACATATTATAGAAATCACAATGCATGATGCATGGAATACTGTCCTTCTATTTGATCACAAGTGTATCTAATACAAACAAAAAATATGAGAACATTGTCCGATATAAAAATAGATATTTATAATATATTTTATTATTAACAAAAGCTGTCGTACAATTATGGAACTTTATAATTATTATAAGACCACAGAAAACAATATTCCACACTGCAGAATAATGTTTACCATTCGAAAGTTGGAATTACCAAAGGGACATGAGACCACAATAAGGTCTCTATGGAAGCATATCATTTTCTCCCTTGAGTTTTCAAACAATTCAATATGGGTAAATGCAGCTAGAAAAAAGTGGCTTATAAAATTACAGGTTTATCAATGCCAGCTCTCAGATTCTGGAGGTAACATTCTGTGTGAATTTGGATTTTGGAAGAATTTCTACTGGTGACAGAGCCTAGGATCTTCATTCAGTAAAATGGGTCTTATTGTATATACGGTATTGTTCATTTTAATTGAAACCAATATATGTGAAACAAATGTAGTGAATGGAAATATGTTTTTTTTTTGTAAACGATACTATCATTACACAGTGTGACCCGGGACCATAAAACCACACAGTCCTAATGATAGGATCACCACATCAATCGTATTTCTTGTAAATGCAGTCTCTCTTTATTAAGAGGTCTGGCAATTTAAACAAAAAGAAAACAAACAAAAAGAAAAGCCTTGCTCTTCCTAGCAAGTTTTTCTCTAACTGCTGTTGGGCGGCTTACCCACTTCCAACAATACGAAATACAAATTTGAGCACAGACCTTTTTTTTCAAATAAATATTTCCTTTCTCCTTTAAACATGAAGACTCTTGTAGAGAGAAATGCAGTCTCACACACCGCTTGTCCTTCACTATGTGAATCGCTGACAGGGAAATTTTATAGCAGTCCTGTGCTAATCATTGCCAACAGGTGATCAACTATCTGGGTGATCTAGACCTCCTGGACTGGATTGCTCATCTGCTGTGCTGTATGTAAACTGTGGAATGGAACACTGGCCTTCCTTTTACTCCAAATGCTCCACCCCAGGAACCCATATTAAATTGCAAAATTGCTCTGACTAAAACAGACAGACCTTCTATATACTTCTATATATCCAATACTTTTGGAGAAATATACACTACATCCATAACAATGTCTTGCACTCTGTCACAACAGATAGAGTTGTGTATATTCAGTGGAGATTTAATGATGTGCCACTTGAACTTAGCAGGAACTTGTCTGTAAGTTTCTACTAAGTAGATCTAAACTCAACAGCTTATTGCATGTTCCTATCATAAAAAAATAACTTGGTAGCTCACTGCAAGCTCTTATTGAGCATAAACAAACTCAGGAGATCCTTGCAAACACCTGTCGTGTGTTGACTGAACTGTGCAGCTCCTCGTATACTTACAATTTAATAATCTGTTCTTACTCACAATTGTTAAATGTAAGGGCTTTCTACTAGATAATCATCACCTAATCACCTAATCATTTCTTAATCTGTTATCCTTGCAAGTACCACCAATCCCTCCAATCAATTATCCCTTCAAATGTCTATTTATACAAGTGCTTCAAATGATACAGTAACTATTTAGATTTTGCTTATTCTCAATTCATATTTTAAGATTTATGAGTAAGACAATATGTCTAGGAGATCTCTCTTTTCTGCATGGAAACATTGCCAATTTCATAGAGTATTTATTATTATTTAGTAAATCTTGCATAAAGCCAAGTTTTCTTTCTCACCTTGAATTGCTACAACAATACAAGGACAGTAAATATTATTTATTTATAAAATATTTTACTAGGAAAGATACATTGAGATTTCTCTCGTTTTCAAGTATGTCCTGGGTCCAAAAATCATTGCATTGTTACATTAGGGTACAATAAAATACAAAAACAATATTAATAAAATAAATACAAAATTTAACATGGAACAGGTAGGAAATATATAGTCAACCATGACAGGTGCATTCTGTTTTGAGGTATGTAGAGAGGGATCTCTTAAAGGACTTTAGGCTTAGGGATGATTTTAAATTGTGCGGGAGGTCGTTCCACAATTGCGGTGCTCTGTAGGAGAAGGAGGATCAGGCCGTTTTCTTTTTGTATTGAGGTAGACTAAGTAAAGTGTTGGTACTGGATCGGAGCTTATAGGAAGTGTGAACAGCTGGGGAAAGCATTTTGTTCAGGTAGGGTGGGAGTTTCCCAGAAAAGCTCTTAAACACAAGGCTGGAAAGATCTGCGTACATGTGTACATTTGAGGATAAGCAGACCTTAGGCAGATCATTTATAAATAATGTAAATAGTAGGGGGCCGAGAATGGAACCCTGGGGAACACCACACGTGACTGGGAGAGGAAGGGAGTCGCTGTCAGAAATGAACACATATTGCGAGCGATCAGATACATATGATCGAAACCAGGTTAGCGAACTATCACCAATACCTGAGTTTTTAAGTTTGTGCAGTAGAATGTCGTGGTCTACTGTGTCAAAGGCCTTAGCAAAATCAAGGAAAATAGCTCCAGTTAGGTCTCCTTGTTCCATGCCAGTTTGGATGTCATTGCAAACTTTTAAGAGGGCAGTTGTAGTGGAGTGATTCTGGCGAAAACCCGATTGATCAGGGGTCAGATAGTTTAATTGTTGGTAGTACTCACAAAGTTGCATATGGACACATTTTTCTAAGATTTTTGACAATACTGGGAGCAATGATATTGGGCGATAGTTAGAAACCAAAGTAGTGTCACCACTTTTATGGATAGGCACTACTCTCGCAGTCTTCCAAAGTTTGGGTATGTATCCAGACACCATGGATTTGTTAATTAGAGTTGAGACGGGTTTAGCAATTGCCGGCGCACTGAGCTTCAACAGCGTTGCTAGGATTTGATCGGGTCCGGACTGGTTTTTCATTTTTAGATTATGAAGATGTTTTTTAATGACACTAACAGGTACAGGTCTAAAAATAAACGTGTCTATATTGGGCCTTTGCGAATTTAGTGTGACCTGATCCATATTTGTAGTTTCAGGATGCGTATCATTTATTAGCTTGGCAATCAGGGCAGTAGAGCATCCGACAAAGTAATTGTTAAAGGCATTTACTACATCTAAGGGAAGTTGCAGGGTTTGGTTACCCACTTTGACAGTGGAGGGTTGGGAGTGGATTGGGGGAGTTTGTAGTTTATTTATGACTTTCCAAAAGTTTCTAGGGTTTGAGATGTTATTGTTGAGATTCTCATTGAAATATTGGGCCTTGGACAATTTTGTCTGTTTTGTGAATATATTTCTCCATTGTCTATATGCACAGTGATCATGCATAGAGCCAGTACGCTTAAACTTTGACCACAAAGAATCCCGAAACTGGTACATTTGGATGAGGTCAGCTGTGATCCAGTTCATATGTGCTCCTTTTACCCTCACCTTACGCAGCGGGGCATTCAAATTCCAAATTTGTAGGAGTTCAGACTGAAAGAATTCAACAGCACAGTCTAGATCTGGAATAATGTTTAATCTGTGCCATGGGAGGTTCTTGATGTCATTTAGAAAGGATTCAAGATTAAAATGTTTGAAGGACCTAGTTATTTTAACCTTGGGAGAGGATTTAATAGCCTTTATTTTGGGCACGCAGTACATTAAACAGTGATCACTGAAAATGTTTGGGAGAACACTGGCCTCCTGGATTCTATCAGGAGAAGTGGAGAGAATCCAATCGAGCAGGGTATGGTTATGGCTTTTAATGTTTACGCGAGTCGGGGAGGAGATTAATTGCGTTAGCTGCAAAGTCTTAAACAGCGTGCAAGAACTATTGTTTTTAGGATTCAGCCAATCAATATTAAAATCTCCAAAGACCAACAGTTTACTTTTTGGGTTTTGAGCTATGGTTTCACTAAGGAGATGGGCTATGTCTGAAAGGGAATGCACAGGGGAGCTAGGTGGGCGGTAGATTCCTGCAACAATGATTGATTTACTGCACGGGATCTCAGTTGTGCCAGAAAGGAAATCAAAGGTGGCAGGAGGACTAAAGTTTTGTAAAGGGGTAAACTTTATGGAATTGTCAACATAAATGACAATGCCTCCTTCTCTCTTTGCTCTGTCATTTCTAAAACATGAATAACCCTGTATTGCAATGGCGGTGTCTGGTATTTTAGCTGTTAACCATGATTCTGAGAGCACAATGATTTTTGGTTTGTAATGGGAACACCAGGCTTGCAGTGCATCCAGTTTAGGGAGTAAACTACGGATGTTGCAGTGCACAAAAGAGAGGCCTTTTTTAGTGGGGAGATTAGGACTAGAATTAGCTGGGGGACCAGGGTTAGACTCCACATCATTTGCAAGGGCAAGTAACATAAGGAGTAGGAATTTGGACATCATTTTTGTTTGGCCATATAGTGAATGGGATACTTTATAATTTTGTGAGGTAGGGGTAGAAGGGCTATTTTTTATAACTCTCCACCAGCACTCAGTAGATAAGTTAAAGGAAGAGAGCAGGCCATGGTGTATGATAATTTGTGTTCCAGTTTGAGGAGTGTGTTAATGCTGGTAGTGGTGTGAACCAAATTGGTAGTGGTGTGAACCAAATTGTGAACCAAAAAGGGTTATTAAGAATAACAGAATGGTTATATTTGGATTTATGTTAGTGGTATGAGGTGTGTGGTTGAAAATGAAACAGAAATTGCGAAAAAAAACAAAAATTAAATAGAGGTATATAGTTTTGGTGTGTGATATATCTATTTGTAGTGAGAGAGGGTATGTGTTTTATAGGGTTAAGAGATTGAAAGGGTGTGCTGATCAGTGTTTGCACCTGACATTTTAGTAGATTGAAAGTTGTGTGGGAGACTATCTATAAATGAGGAAATGATCATGGGGTGGGTGGGCGAGGAATAGGGTAGGAGGAAAATGTCAGTCTTCCAGAAGGCTACCTGTTTCAAATGGCCATGGAACAGCTGATGGAGCTCTGAGTTCTATGCTGGACTGGGTATGTTTAAAAATCAGACTGTGGGAGAGAGATGTATATTAGGGTCAGATGGGCTAAGAGATGGGGGGGTGCATAGATGGACATTTGATTTACGGTCATTTAAGGAAAAACAAAAGCTAAGGTTGAGAATTACAGAGATAAGACAGAGGTATTTAAGTAGGGAAATAAAACCATTAAACAAGGAACAGGAAAGCTATATGGGCCTGAGCTGGTTAAACTAACTTTTAACATGATGGACAAAGACAAAGGTGATAAAATACTTTGCACGATTAGCACCGGTTATAGTTAGCACGATTAACACAGGTTATAGTTAAATATGAACAATGCTAACAGCTAAATGAGAAAACTCATTGACTCTTCCCCATGTATTGCCTGTAAGTAACAGTAGCACCCATTGACCCATTCTTTACTGTTTAGAATGGGTGGGAGAGAAGACATTATCAGCATGTTTGCAGGTATTAAATCAGGGACTAGTGGCTTCAGGCAGAGAAATGTGCTCTCCTACAGAGTATAAAGGAAGGTGAGTGAGGCTTTATGGAATAAATCTCATTTTGAAAAGTACATGGAAGCAACAACCTTTATACTTGAAAAGGATTACTGCTCCTGAGTGGCAGCAACAGCTAAAGAAGACACTAGCCTAAATTAACAGAGAAATTCCAAAAAATTACCAGTGCACTCTCTCAAATGCCTATGCACATTTAAATAACAGAGGGTTTGGTATGTTAACTTGGTCATTAAAGTGTAAGCCCATCTGCCCATTACTTAAGAGGATTCCTTGAAATGACAGGAGACATTACATTGCCTTAACTAAAATCCACATCATAAGGCAGAGATAATTCATCAGTAGACATAGAGCTTATCAATACCTGGAAATAAAATAACCTTAATATCATATCACGAAACGAGCACACATACTGCACTGATATTTTACTAATAAAACCAGCATAAAAGGGGCTGGTGTCTTTATAGTACCCCTTATGTGCTTATGTACATCAAGGGATCCATGGTGTTTTAAATATTCAGGGGATCTAGCTTCACTTTTAAGGAAATGTTTTGGATTTTTACACTAGTCCCTTTAGTGCTAAATGCTGATATGGAGCTTAATAATTTAATTTAATGCATGATTTTAGCTAATGGGTGTCAATGTAGCCTGACTAATTTTATTCTATTTGGGGTTTTATTTTGAAGACTGGTCAATAATTAGGATTCCTGTGTGATTAGTATTAATTTTTTATTATTTGTGAGGTAGAATATAATATATGTATTTGAAAAGAATATATATTTAGAAAATTAGGCAGACTAGATGGGCCAAACAGTTCTTATCTGCTGCCACATTCTATGTTTCTCAGTTTGTTTCTATATATATATATATATATATATATATGAGCTATCTATTTAAGAGGATGATGACATTTTTGTGCTGTGTATGTTAGTTATAGGACCGTTTTATCTAGCATGATTCTATTGTTTGCATGTCAATGGTTTCAAAAATATTGTATTTATTGTATGGCCCCTTTGACATGTAATAAGTGTTTGCCTGTATTAATGGAGTAATAAAGTACTTGCTCTTATCATGACAAAGCCCAGCAAACAGGTCAAATGTGCAGAGCAAGTATGGCATTTTATTTCTATGGGGCATTGCCACAGATCATAGGTTGAGCAATTGTTGATTAAGGTGTCCTTCAAGCCTTCCTGTAACAAAAAAATTGAGAATAGGGAAAACAATTACAGCCGTGGAGAGCTGTGACTGCAAATGCTGGCATTGATGTCCTTAAAACAAAAAGATAATGGTTCAGCGCTAAGTAGTCTATAAGAAACTAAAATAAAGTGTAAAAGCAGCAACCTATAGGAATGAGGTCCCTCAACAAGCCTCACATGGAATAGGATAGAAAAAAATGGGTATATAGGTCGCGCTAAGGGGACAAGGAGGTAAAATAAATGGAATAAATAAAAGTAATAAAAAAGTCCCAAATAATAGATAAACCTGTGTTGTTCTTAGATGAGTATACAGTCCAAATGGATATCTGAATCTTCTTATGTTGAAGATGTCTTGGAACGCTTGTCAATATGTAGATACATAAAAGAAATTAAAAAGAACTCCAATAGTGTAGGATGTCGACAAAATTTCCAGGTGTGGGTCTATAAGTAGGTAAAAAACTCACCTTGGCGTGAGCAAAAAAAACTTTGCTCAAGTATTCTTAGC